TCCCAACCAAGGATACCCTGCCCGTGGTGTGCTGCCTCTATACGGAGTCTGTGTGGCAAGACCATAAGAAACAACTAGGGCAGCAACTGAACCTCTCCCAGAGGAAAAAGCAGTAAAATGCATTCTACACAGCTGAAAAGGAGAAGCACCTCACTACAAAGTGGTCCTCAGTTAGCTTTATGGCTAAGCAGAGGGATGACGGAAGAGAAAGAGAGGCCTAACTCAGTAAACACAGCACATCTGTGCAGAAATAACAACGCTCCTGCCAAACAGAACCTGCACTTGCAGAGGTGACTCCCTGACCGTGCCACTTTCTGCTGTCCCTGCCCTTCCATGGGCATGCCATGTTCACCACGCTCACCTGGCACAGAACGCCCTCCAGGTAGGGGCTGAGGAAGTGCGGCAGAGTCTCCACCACCTTCTGCAGGGCAGCCAAGGCGCTGAGCAGGTAGACCTCGCTGGAGACCAGCTCACGGCTGTTCTTCATCGTTGTCAGCAACGATGGCATCAGGCTAGAAACAGAACCGAGATTCTGAGGGACTTTCCTCAGGGACAGACACTGGAGAATGGAGCACAGGTCATGATGGAGACATCCCATTATGCCCGTTACGTCACCAGAAGTCTCAGCCTACAAAACGCTGTCTTTACCTTTAGGGTGACTAAGCTCAAGACATCTCCCAGTGCCAACAGTCTCGACACGATGACTCTAAAAATGTCTCCTTTAATCAGACAGGGTCTTGCTATGTCGCCCAGGTCAACCTCAAACTCACAACCCTCAGCTCAGCCTCCCGTGATGCCGGTTGGACCACGGATCACAGCTGGCCCCCCAGTTCCAGTGTGTGAAACACACGTCTGTCAACTACTGGATGCTCGCTCTGCCAGGCACTGTGCAGAGTGGGGAGCACTGCCCGAGACCCTGACAGGTGCTGCCTCCGGCTTGCAGATGGCACAGCTCAAGCGGGTCAGGTCACCAGCCCAGCTATGCAGATGCAGCTGGTGCCCACTGGACCCAAAGCCAGATCAGGGGCTGACCCCCCAGTGTCATGGCTGGGGCACTGCCCAGCCACAAGGGTCTGTTTTCTAGCAGCTTCCCCACAACTTTCCAGTTACAGCTCGAGGGTGAAGATTGGCTCCTCAGCAAGGCTAACCTGCCACGACCCTGCTCGGAGGCAAGCCGCAGTCCCGACCACCACAGTCCCGGCTGCACGAGCCCTGCTCCGAGCCTGAGCCTGTACCTGGGAAGCTGTGGGATGGCCAGCGCGTCCAGGGTGGAAGCCGACTCCGCTATGCACAGCAGGGCGCTCCCCAGCACGTTCTTCTCTTCCTTTCTTTCTGGAGCAATCAGTGCCACTGCAGCGGCCAGCACTGGGACAAAAGGCTCTGGGTTCTCTGCACCAAAATTCTTGCATAAAAGCTTCAGTGTATACAAAGCTGTCTGCCTGTTTACTGCTTGTTCTTCCACCTCCTTTTTCTTTGGCTGCACAATGGCCAACAGGACTGGAACTAGTTTTAGGAAACGGTGAACCTGAGGAGACAAGCAAACCCCCTGGATAAATAAAGCTACAAAAAATGCGAGTCCATTTGCCCAGTTCTACCACTGAGACCATCTAAATGGGAACCAAACTGACCATTTTGCACTAACCGCTCTATGTACTGCTAAGTGAGTACACGGGCCTGCTGACGAACTTTTTTTTTCTCTTAATTTTGCCAGAGAGAGACAAAGAGAAGGAAAATGAGAAAGTACCGCCCCACAAGAAATGGTCATGCCACAATCCTTTTCTCATCTCCCCTTCTTGGGCACATATACACATGCTCAAGTCACTAGGACCAGGACTTGAACCACACAACTGGACATGTGGGATCCAGCCACTTTCACCACAGAACAAGCCGCCCAATTTCTGGTATCCATAAAGCATCCTACTTGTTTGATGTACAGGGATGTAAAATTATGCTAAAGCTGAGACAAGGTATGAGCCATGTTAGGAACTGCATTAGGTGAAAAGTCCACTCCAGCCCTGCGGATTTAGTGTTAAAGTAGGTTATGCGATTTAACCGGTGACCACTGGAGAGACTGAAGAGAGCGACCTGCAGCCCCTGGCGGCCTTCACTCACTGTTCTCCTCTTCCAGCCGATGTTCTGCTGGAGCTTGTTATTCAAAAGGTCCAATGCTTTTCGGCGAACAGAGGGTAGAGGATTGCTCACCAGCCCTCGAATCACAGGGATGAATGTTTCTATGGGCAGCAAGGCATTGACCTATGGAGAAGTCTCACATTTAACACACACAGAAAAAGATCAAACTAAGACAGACTTGTCATCACGACATATCTAATGACAGGCATTTTCATGACCAGTATCTTGTTTTTGTTTTTTAAATAATTATTTTATTTAACTTTATTTATTTGCGCAGAGAGGGGTGGGGTGGCGGGGAGTGAGAAAGCAAGCTATCAGGTCTGGGACTCGAACTGCAGTCAGTCATGTGGGGAGTCCAGTGCCCCTAACCACCACGTCACCTGCCGGCCCCAACAGTGTCTTGTTTGATTCAACGCTAACCTCTCAGGTGGTATATTAGCCACCCCCAATTATGAAACTAAGCAAGGACCCGACATGCAGAGTGTCATGGCCACGTGGCCACATCAGCTAGATCTGAGCAGGGAACTTCATCGAGGCCCAGAAGAGCCCCCTGAGACACCTGTCAGCGTTTCTATCTGACTCTGGCTGAGTGAGTTGGAACAACACGTGGACGGGTACTTGACTGCACGCCTAGTCTAAAAAGTGCCTACAGAGGCATGTGTTCTTCTAACTGGTAGGAAATCAACTTTTCCAGAATTATCTCTAGTCATTAAGAGATTCCTTTCCAAGAAAAGTCTGAGCTTAATTACATTAAGAAAAGGTATGGCTAAGTTTACCCTGAAGTGAAGTTTCAGGTAAGTAATTTCACGATGACATAAAAACAGCAACAAAGCACACCGACTACGGAGAGAGGTGCGGGCCCACCTTATCAAGCACGTCATAGGCTTTGCTGAGCAGCGCCCGCCAGAACTTCACGCTCAGCGCGTCTGCATTCTTGTCCATGGACTGCGCCACAGCGACGATGTAGCTGAGCACCACTTCCAGCAGCCTAGGACACAGGGCATGGGCTCAGCGGGCGGCAGCTGCGGGCCCTGGGAGGCCACCTGGTCACCTCAAGTTTACCGCGTCAAACGGGAAGACAAGCCAACAACTCTGTACAGAATTACTTGGGTGACAGTGTGGAAAGGAAGGAAAAGGCTTAAAACCACCTGTAAGGAAGCAGGCTGAGGACACCGGCGTCTCTGCCCGGAAGGCTCGTTCCCAGGGGCCCTGCAAGGCCCAGCCTCCACACACCGAGTCCGACCGTGCTGCCCACTGTTCGGGGTCACAGCCCAGGCTGGTGGCGCTGACCCCACGCACCCGCATGCCACATACACTTTCTGATCACAAAGAGCTTTGACGTTACTTGGAGTCAGAAAAGGCTGCAGACAGCAAGCAGCCTGCAGTTAGAGATGCATGCCAAGTCTGACACGGCTGCCAGAGCTGCCCACCATGGCCGGCCCGAGGGGAGAGCGTGTTGGACTCAGCACTGCTTAGCAGAGGAGGTCCTACACACAGCGAGCCACCCAGCATGGGACTGGGACGGGGCGGCTCGCACAGCAGCCCCAGGGCAGGCGCCAGCCCAAGCAGGAGGCGACCTTGGGAGTGTAGTGCTCTGGGAGGAGGCACAGAGCAGGGCTGGGGTGCCCAGGACATGGTGCGGGGGTGGCTCTCTGCACCCGTCCCTGACGGCACAGTGGGCTCTGTCCACTGAACACGAGAAGCGGTGGGCCAGACAGAACGGGCCAGATGAAGGCACTGGCCACGTGCGGTGGCCGGATATGATACACAGCCCTGGAACGGACTGTGACCCAGAAAAGCCGGGACTCCAGCTGGACCCTGTGGGGGGACGAGGAAAGCCACAGGAGCTGCAGGTGAGGTGGCGGTCGGCAACAGTGACTGCCCGTGGCCCAGTGCCTTCCGCCCTAAGGAGAGAGACACTGGAGCACGCAGGGAAGAGGCACGAGTGTGGCTCCCCTTCCCTCCGCTCCGAGGAAGACCGAG